AGGTATATAAATAATTATTCTTCATCTTGTTGCTTCTGGGTGTTTGAGCCAGATGGGTATATGGATTTTTTGAGATTTTGAAATGGGTAATAGCAAATTTCTGATTTTCATGCGATATTTTGATGTGGGTCTTAGCTGTCTGAAATTTTTTTAGTCAGATATTTTACTATCTTTGTTTCATACCTTTGCTCTTACTCGCTGCCTACGTGGTCTTGAAATTTGGTAGGTAGGTGCCCAGTTATGGAGTTTTGTATCTCACGTAATTACCAATACGGATACGGATTAATCGTTTCGCATATCGTATTGAAGTCCTGTTTATCTGTATGATTACCTTTTGAGAATAAAAATCATTATTCCGAAAAAGTTAGGACATTTCTTTTTCGGAGGTTGGATTAGTTAGAGAGTGAATTCTAAGCTAAGATTTGAGAGTGACGGACAAATCCCCCATTTCATTTCATGAATTAACTGTTTCACTTGTTGAGAATCTTTCACATCCAAATCCCAATTTATCAACAAAAACCACAGTTCCAAATAATGGTTTCATGTAGAAAAAATCAACGATTCGAATTTGGAGCAAATGGGTTCAGATTCGTGTAGCTGCTACTTGTTGTATTCGGGTGGTTTTCAGTGATGAATTCGAGATGTGTTTATGTGGAATTGTAGATGTGAGCGATGGTCTTCTGAGGATTGGACATGGACAGGCGGAGTTGGCTATGGCGGAGGAAGTCATCGGAGAAAAGTCCGGGAGAAACAGAGAGCACGGGTTCCATGTCTTCTTATTCTGAAAGATTTTCTGACGATCAGGTAGATGAAATGAATTTTTCATCTGTGTGCCTTCTGTTATTTCTGCTTGATTTTTTTCATAATTCTTACATGTATAATGTATGAAATGGATTTCTCATTCTTATTCTTTTATTGGTTTGTTTTACTCGAAATGTTTTTGGATTTGAGAAGTTTGGATATGGCTATTTAATTGATTTGGATTTTTAATCTCAGTTTTGTTTTTCCTTGATTTATTTCCTGTTTTCCTACTCTCCTCCCTGACTAGCTTTGAGTCCATTATGGTCTGGAAGGAGTATGTTGTTGAATTCATTTGAGAAAAATTGATCTAGATAGCTGCTCTAATTCAAATACTGTTATTTTACATTTGAATAAACCTGTCAAAACATTGTTTCAGCAACAACTCATCGCAAGCACAGTTTGTTTTTACTTCTTTTTTGTTGGGTAATGGTGTCTTGGCTATGTAGATTTGCAAATTTTTGCTAAAAGCATCATTTAAAATACAAGGGATTCGACGCCATGTGCTGGTCCATTTAGAGATGCCTAATTGAATGCTGCTAATTTTTCTCAGAAAGATTCAGAGTACTAAATGATGAAGCCTTAGCTAGTTCCGAAGTTTAAAGTAGTTCCAGCTAAGCTGCAAGGAAATGATTTGGGAGTTCATCTTGACCTTTGTGTGTGTGTGAAGCTCCTTAGATGGTTGGTTAATATAATTCATTTATGATAATTAATTATGTGTCACAGTCAGTGTCTAAAAATGTGGGGTCTTTTGTTGATAAGTCTTTTGTTGATAAATATCAATTTTATTTTTTAAATTGAGCTCTACTTGAAAACTAGCCTTGTGCTCATTTGATAGCCACAATTTTAAGTAGATTCTGGTTTATAATTATCTTTAATTACTGTTAACTTTAGCCTTCTGATAGGTGAAGATCACTTTATAGAACCCTCGCTCTGTCCAAATTCCCAATTAACAGTACAATCTTAACTTTCCTTATTATACTTCAAATATCTAATTAACTTATACTATGCTTGGAGATATATTTTATCATGTATTCTTGTTATTAAATGACCTTGATGCCATCTCTGACATCTAAGTCAACAATCAAGATGATCTTGTTTTCCATTGGTTTTGCTTCAAAATTGTAAGTACTTTCTTAACCATAAATTACTGATTCTGTTATTTCAAAAAAATAGATTACTGATTCTGAAAGTACTGAAGTCATGAGCTTCAAGAGAATGCTCAATGTTATAGCTTTCGAACAAAATTATGCATGCATATACAAACTTAAAAAGAAAGGCATAAAACAACTGTCCTTCTATATTGGGGGTTGTCTCTGCAATAGGATCTTTGCACATTGATTTCGCCAAGTTTCTACAAACAAAATTTCATGATGTTCACTTTATAGCTTCATAGATTAGATTATCAAGTCTGGATTCATAACTGCTAGGATGAAATATCATAACTATCATTCACTTAAGGATGTCATTGACTAATGATTCATGAGTGACAATGTTTTATGATGATGTATTATTTAATGTTACTATTAGAAATCATTGTTTGTTCTCTGTTATAGTTTGTTTATGATTTTTATTACATGATTTACATCAGTGTTTAATCAGTGGAAAAAGAACTTGCTTTTGTGTGTATTTCTAATGTAGCATTGACCTTCCATCCTACACTGCATTCACTGTTTCTCTTGTAATGATCTCCGTCATAAACTGGAATTCCTTTGGATTATTTTTATGATAGGGAGATGGGGGAAAATAGTGCCTTTATATTCAAATGGGTGTTCAAGCATTATAGGGTTGTCCTGTTTTCTTATTGAATTAAAGTCATTTTTGCCCATGGAAGAAAATAGTTGGCTGAACCACTTCAAATTCCTTGCACTTTCTCTAAAATTTCTATACTTGGGTGAGTTTCTAGTTACCATGGGCTACTGTCTCGCTATGTCAACCTAGCATTTTCATGCAAAGTTACTATAGAATCTGCCCTCCTGCATACTTCTTCTGGTTTGCTTCCGCTATTTCAAGAGTTTACTGAACTTCTTATGGATTGATGTTACTGCTTTTCTGGGCATCATTTACTAAAATAATAGTACTATTATTGCCTACTCTAGTAAAATCAGCCGTTAGAGCCATTGGTAACCACTGGTCATTAAGGCATATTCTCAAAATATCTATATCTACAGTAGTGGCAATAGGCACGTGATTTGAAAATGTACCCAATTTGTCCACTATTGGTAGGTAAAATGATTTCTTTTACTTTTGAATCCTAAACAATTTGATTAGGAGTTAGTATGCAAAGATTTAAGGTCATTTCTTTAATTTGCTCTCTATTTCTAATTCATAGCCTGCGCAGCAGCTTCATCAGTGTTACCTACTGAGTAAAATGTTTGTTCGGAAAGACCATCTAATTCTCCGAAAAGGATCAATTTAAACCCTCTAATTGTTTCTGCTAGATCAATGTGTTTTCCTAGAGAACCCATAAATACTTCTGCTACGAAATCTTTTCTGCTTTTAAATTTTGTCTTTTCTTCATACTAAGGTCTCTAATGGATTATTTTTCATAGAAGATAGTGCTAGTAGGTGCTGAAATATTAGAGAGTGCTCATCCTGTATTAGAGATATTTGCTTATGGTAGCAGTGGTGTATCAGGCCAAAGCTTTGTCTTTACAGTTTTATAAATTGTTCTGGGATTTTATGCAGCCCAAGCACAATGATATTCTGATCAAAAGTTAAATAAATTTAGAATCAGATGATGGGACCAGAATTGGTGTTCCAGTGAACCATGCAGTAAGCTGACATGGTATATGGAATTTATTTATGTTGCAATCCCACTTGGATACCACATTTGCCTTCTAAAACTTTCATAAAGCATTTCATTTTTTTAAAAGAAAAATAATTATCGATTTTGTGTATTTGGTTCTATCTTTTGGAGTTTTTATATCTTGACCTTGTAAGTTTATCCTTTTGCCAATTAGCGTAACCCTGTACTTTTAATTGCAGCCTCTTAAAATTTTTCCTTTAGCAAAATCTGCCATAATTTTTTATATTAGCTAAATCATTTTGGATGACGTTGACAAATTTAAGCATAGTGATGTCATTGTTTGTTAGGAGCAAACTGGTCATTTGCTCACCTCTTTTAATCATTAGTGACAGTGATTTATTTATTTATTCTATTTGGTAATTAACTTCTGCCTAATAATTGTCACATGACCATATTTTGAAGCATTCACATGGATAACAAGCATGACTGCCATCTAAATTAGAGATGAATTGGCTGGCATGTATGAGTTACAGAATTTAGGTGGCTGCAACTAGAAGTTTAGATTGGTGACTAATTGTTACTTTACTATGTTTCTTATGACTAATTGGTCTAGTAACTTTAGTTATATGGTTGGAGGTATGAATTCTGATCCTTCTTTGTTTGTTATCCAAGGCATGTCCAACTCAAAGCTCTGTATCGCCAGACATCTTGTCTAAAGTTGTAGCGACTGATGAAGAAATTAATGATAATGTGAAAATTCTGTCAGAGAAACTCTCTGATGCTCTTTTGAATATTAGTGCTAAGGAAGAGTTGGTAAAGCAACATGCCAAAGTTGCAGAAGAGGCTGTCTCAGGTATCATTTCTACTTCGAAGCAACAGAGATTTGAAATTGGGCTACTGAGTAATCTGTAACGATTGTGAATTGGGGTATAAAGGAATATCAGATTTGCCTAATTCCAATGTATTTCTATCCGGAAAATATATGACATGAAGACCATAGAGATAATTGTTATGCTTTTCTTTTTTCTTATTTTTTTTTCGTCATTGGCATGTGGAAAAATCCACTGAAAAATATAGAAGGATTGTAATCGAAGTGGGAAGAAAATATAAAAGAGAAATACCATGTTGTATAAGAGAAAACACGAAAATCCCAGTACCATGCAAGTAATAGCCACCAAGAGAGTACCTCAAAAAGGTTATTTTCATGAAACTAATGAAAGACTAGACTCCCTTAAATACTCTTGTTCTCCCTCCAAAAATTCTGTAATGATTGAGTGGAGTTGTTCTCCAAGTGATCACTCCAATTTTCTACTCTCAACTAACTACTTAGCATCTTCCAAAATTGGCCTTTCACTTTTTCTTTTTTTCATATTTATTAGGAGGAAAAAAAATTGTTTTTTAGTTGAGAACTTGGAGAGAACCATTTCTGGTTATATAATCTGATGAGTGTGTTTGTTCCTGTATGGATTTTCTTGTCAGTTTGATGTAGAAGTTTATTTCAATAGCATTTTCTTTTGAAAGGCCACTCAACATGGCTGGATCTTTTTTTTCCCCATCTCAAAATAGGGTGGGAGAAGGCTGAAAATGAAGTTTCGGTGTTAAAGAAAAAACTTGAGGCTTCTGGGCAAAGGAACTCAGCACTAGAAAATCGAGTTGGACATCTTGATGGTGCACTAAAGGAATGTGTGAGACAACTTCGACAAGCAAGAGAAGAGCAAGAGCAGAAAATCCAAGAAGCTGTTGAGAAGAAAACACGTGAGTGGGAGTCTAAGAAATCCGAGCTTGAAAGCCAACTTGTTGAGCTCCAAGCACAACTTCAAACTGCTAAAAATGAGGCTCCTGCTTCTGTCAGTCAAGAGCTTTACCAAAAAATTGAGGCTTTAGAGAAAGAGAATTCAACTCTTAAGCTTGACCTGCTTTCTAGAGCTGAGGAAATGGAAATTAGAATTCTTGAAAGGGACTTAAGCACCCAGGCAGCAGAAATGGCCAGCAAACAGCATTTGGAGAGCATTAAAAAATTAGCTAAGCTCGAAGCTGAATGCCGCAGGCAAAAGATTGTGGCAAAAAAAGCATCTCCTATGAATGATCACAAGTCTCATACGGCAACCTCGAGCTATGTCGAATCTTTCACTGATAGCCAGTCAGATAGTGGGGAGAGGCTACAGGCTGTCGAAAATTATATGCACACAATGCATAGCTTGGATATGAATGAGGGTGAGCCTTGTCGTTCTGATTCATGGGCATCTCCTCGAATAACAGAATTGGATCCGTTTAAGAAAGAGAAGTCTATGGGAAGAAACTTAGCTGTTTCTTCTGGAGAAATCAATCTTATGGATGATTTTCTTGAAATGGAAAGGCTTGCAGGACTGCCAGGTACTGATGTTGGGAGTAGTTTCCTTGAGGCAGGACCTGTATCAGAACAAATGGATGGTAGTACGAGGCCAAAAAAATCTGCTTATGAAGCTTTGATTTGCAGAATTTCTGAGCTGGAGGAAAAATTAAAGAAGACTGAAGCAGAAAAACTGCAACTGGAGATGGCTTTGACGGGATCAAGAAAACAACTGGAAACCTTACAAAATCAGGTAAAGGAAGCTGAAGGAAAGTTGTTAGACATACAAAAGAAGGCTCTAACTGGATCCAAGAAGCAGCTTGAGACATTGCAGAACCAGCTAAAGAAAGCTGAAGGTAAGTTATTAGATTCAGAGAAGATAAAAGCAGAGAAACTGCAACTAGAGATGGCTTTAACCGGATCAAAAAAACAAGTAGGAACCTTGCAAACACAGCTGAAGGAAACAGAAGTGAAGTTAGAGATGCAAAAGAAGGCTTTAACTGGATCCCAGAAGCAGCTTGAGAAATTGCAGGACCAATTAATGAATGCTGAGAGGAAGTTGTTAGATGCAGAGAAGATGAAAGCCGAAAAATTTGAATTAGAGATGGTTTTGACTCAGACTCGTGACCAGCTTGAGAAATCAGAAAATCAGCTGAAGTGTGCAGAAGAAAACTTAGTAGAGCTTCAAACTCAAATAGCTCTTGTAACTGATGCAAAGCAGGCAACTGAGGAAGAAGTGAAGGCTGCAAACATTAAGAGAGAAAAAGTGGAATCACAACTCAGAGATGTTGAAGGAGAAGTCAGAAGTTTGTTATCAAAAATTGTTTCTTTAGAAGAGGAAACTGAAAAAGAACGTGCCTTATCAGCAAAAAATTTGGCAAAGTGTCAAGAATTGCAGGATGAGATTTCAAAAATGAAAAATAAAATTAAGCTTCAGGATTTGCCGAACTCTAATGGGGACTTGAAGATAATGCAGGTCAGTATGTTCTGTATACTTCTTCCTGATTATGTGCACGTATGTGTTAATTTTTCTCTACTTCAATCTTGTTAATGTCTTCCAAAGATTAAAAAGCATTCTTGCATACAGCAGGATTTAATAATCTTAAAGAATGTAAATATATTGGTGTTTATGAAAATCCTTTCTGAACTCTGATGTGGTAATGGCAGGTCATTTCTCCCTAGTTCACGTAATCTATTAGAATTCAGTCATTCTTAAATGTTCAACTATGCTTTTTGTACTCCCGTTAATTTGGTGGCAAGCTTTCTGGTTAAGTAAATCTAATGACTTTATCAAAAAGTTTAACTCAAGCTCTTCAAATCGTTTTTATGAAGGCCAAATTGTAGATCCAACCAAATCTCAGACCTTGTTTCTCTCTCTCTCTCTCTCTCTCAAAAAAAAAAAAAGAAAAGAAACTACAGGTCTTGTTACGTGGCCTGAAAACTCTATTAATACGTAATCTGCTTATAACTTGCTCTGATCATTGATACGATCAGCTGGGTGGGAGTGCTGTACTCAATAGAAACTTGTGGATGTATTTCTGACAGTTATATTAGTAGTTCTGCTCTTATAAATTCTAATGATGCCTTGCTATCAATAACAGGAGAAGGAGCTAGCAGTGGCGGCTAACAAATTTGCAGAGTGTCAGAAAACAATTGCTTCTATTGGCCAGCAGTTAAAGTCTCTTGCAACCTTTGAGGATCTGCTGCTTGACTGCGAAATGCCTTTGGAAGTCAGCAGGCTGTCTCCTACCGAAGAGACAGAAACATTGAAAAGTTATACCAGGGACCTAAAATTATCCGGGAGAGCTCCTGAAGCCAAAAGTATTGATGAGCACCTTAATTCTTCAAAGAATAGGAGTGACTTGGACTCGACATTGCTGGCAAACCCGATCATAGCATCCAAAAGAACCCAGAACGGGGGGGTTGGGAATTTGTTCAACGGAAATAAGGATGGGAGATCTGAGTTGCCATTGTAATGAATTGTTAATTTTTTGTCATTACAGAAACAATGGACACCACATTTGTGGAATAACTGATTTATCTGGGTACAGGTTGTATGAGGAGCAGACATTGTAGAAAGAAAGTATAGATATACTTATACATAAAATATAATCTGAAATGTCTTTTTTTAGTAAAAAATTCCAGTTGCAGTATTTGGCATCAGATTGTTTTTTACTCTTTTCTTTTGATATTCCTGTTGAGCATTGAAGATGGTTCGAGCTGTTGGGATGCCAAAGCAGGGAAGTAACACCACCCTCAAATATAATTGGGATGTGAAAGGCACCGACTATTGAGTTCGGGATCACTTAAAAAATAAAAGATATAAACTCTAAGCGATTATATCATATATTATTTTTTCCGTTTAAGGGGGATTAGACTATATTTAATAGGAGAAAGATTTTTTTAAGTTAATCTCTTAGTTGTTAAATCCAAAATTTATAATCTTCTTTTAATTGTGAAACTAAAAACTTAGTGTTTAAAGCATCAGAGTGTAAATGACCATTACAATGGTGGAAATGATGCTTTTGTAAAAACCAAATATACACTCTAACAGTTATGCAAAAAGAAAGAAAATGTCAGGGTAAAAAATTTATAAAAAAAATTAAGGAATCTTGGGGTTGAAGAATCCAGAAGTTTATAGGTCAATTTCTGTTTCTCTGTTATGTGGTGTAGCTGTATTTTTTTTTAATTAAATGTATGTGTGTATCAATAATTGTTATGCAAAATCAGAAAAAATATTTGTGGGGTGAGAGAGGCTCGAACTCTCGACCTCAGGATAACTCTATAGCTATGAGACCTACGCGCTAGCCAACTGCGCCACCACCCCCGTTCTGTTCATGTTCTTTCCGCGCTAGAATATAATGGGTACAATGTTGTCATGAGGTGAGAATTTACATAACGATAATTATTATGAAAAATTTACAAAAAAAAATACTTTCATTAAGATCCAAGTCCACAATATAAATTCCATCGGCTTCTAATAGATCTATACATTTATTTTTAAATATGTATTACATAAATGTTAAATTCATAGAGTACACGGGAACTAAAACCTATAATATTATAATTTGAAATATTTACAAATTTATTTTTCTACTATGCTTATTGAAATAAGTACATTATAATTACATTAGGAAGTCTATACATTTATTATTTTTATGCACTCAACATTTTTGTCCAAAATATACAATCAATATTTATTAAAAATGCAATGCCCAAACCCACAATTTGGAGTGAGTTACTTGATGGATTTTTGTGATTTGAGCAAGCCAATTATGGGGTTTTAGCTATAAAAAAAGTGATGATATATTTTTTTTTTCAAGTTTAACTCTTCAATATACAAACCATTTTAAAACAAGATCTTTCTATAAAATTATAAAAATATTGACGCAATTGAAACTTTGCTGTCTTCTATATATTTTGTTTCCTAATTTGAAAATTATATTAACTAACATTAAGTTTAATATATTTTAATAATAAAATACAATTAATATATTTCAAATAGTCATAACAGAAATAAAAAAAAAGTAAAAAATATTTATCTTTAAAAAATTTCTTAAATTAAATAAATTTTTTTTTCTGGTTAAAACACTGATTCAATACAAATTTAAAGGTTACAGTTAGTTTTTCATGAACCAACTTGATACAATTGGTAAAATAAAAGATAATTTTTCTAAATCTCAACATTTTTATTCACTTCTAACTACAAAAGAGATACGTACTTTAATTCAAACTAATATTTATTACTTAACTGTAATTATATATGAATTATGACGATGATTAAACAGGATTAAGCTTTCGTTACTTAGAGGTGATCGACAGTCTGTCTAAACCATTAGATTGTAATTCCCACCTCAAACATTTTCTCTGCCATTTGCCCCAGAAAGAACGAGCTTAAACATGTAAAGTACAACAAATCAACTTCTTTTTATTAATATGGATGCCCTGATGCTAAGAATTTGATTCATTCCTTCTAGCAGTTGCTTTTTTATTGATGAGGATGAGAATCATTACAACAACTCCGGAGAGTGAATTAATTATCCTTGCGCAGTAGATCATAGAATACCTCTGGCTTTCTGTTGATGCACAAGGCCTGAAAGTCAACTCTACATATGTCACCTTCTTTGTCGATATAAATATAACCAATTTCTCTAAGCAAAGGATATATCAACCAGAATATAACTATGCTTTTTCCATTAACATTAGATTCTTATCTACAACCACATAAACCCAAAACTACATAATGTTAATAAAAATTGTCTAATAGGTTCTTAAGATATGTTCTCATAATTGACTAAGTTTGAGGAAGGAGATCAAAATTGAATATGATACCATGCTAAATTCATACCCAAACTTGTATGGAATTAGGAAGAGTTGTCTAAAATGTATATAAATCATTATAGATCCTCAACTTGGTCGATGTGGGACTACATATTTTAAAAGATCACTAAGTAACAGCATGTTGCAAAGAATATGAGAATACTAGATAACCTATCTTACCTGCAGTGCATATGCTAGGTGGATTAATGTGGCTTCAGACCAGGGCTTCCCAATGAACTGCAGGCCAATAGGCAAACCTGCTTTGTCATATCCAACCTATGATAAATACATAACAGCTTAATCAATTCGAATAAATAATTGTCATCATTAATTGACTCGAAGGCTAATGGAAATATGCATACTGGAACAGTCACTGCAGGCAATCCTAGAAAATTTCCAGCTATCTGATATCGAACCAGTGCAGCTGAAACAAATGACCTTCGGCTTAGTTGAGCTGTGTAATTTTAGCCGTATCCTACCAGTAATATTATGGTTTATTAATAACAAGGATTTTTAAAATGTTTAACTAAATTAGGTACCTCCATTTATGTAGTCAAGTTCACCAGTCTCCAGAACATCATCAAAAATTTCGTATGCAGTCACCCTGTCATATATGTAAATAAGAGGGGAAAAAAATAACCATTGAATTGTATTGCCGGATGTTTTTGATTAGGAATCTATAAAAAAAATGATATTTATTTTATTCCAAATGTGTTCCTAAAAGTTACTCAAAAACCAAGATCAGATGGGAAGCCTAAACTTCCAAAATAAGACAGGAACCAAAAAAAAGCTGGAAAGATTACCCAGTTGTTGGCACAACTATAACATCTGCCTTCGAAAATATCTGCCTATGAATCTGCAACTGGCGATTCCTGTTAAATCTCACAATGAGAAATTGTCATGGTAATCTCATCGCAAAAAACATGTCAGAGATATTATAATGTATATTGTATGAGAAGTGATTAAAACATTTACCTAATCTTCTGAGCCTTTATATACTCATTGCCACTGAATGCACCATACACACTCAGTGCAACCCTTGCATCCCATCCTAGTTCTGCAGGATCCCTATTTTCATTAAGCTCATGTCATTAGAAACCAAACTTTTGAATCCTCTTAAGAGAATATAGTGAAGATATATGTTTGTTGTGAAGATAACTAACAAGTTTTCAAGATGGGAGCTGAGTGAAGTGCTGCACTCTGATCCAATTGTCATGTAATGTGCCAGGCGCATAGCTTCTATCTCAGGTATAGTAACATCTACGGTCTTGTCATAGAATAAATCAAAGAGGATTAGCAGAAAGTTCATTACAATGCTACAGAGAAACATTAGAGATAACACATTAATATCGAGGTTTTATTCCTATTAACTATTTGCCATTGATAGAGAAGAGATTTTCAAAATAAGAAGATTTTTATTTTTTACAAGCTAAGCAAACCTTGAGAACTAAACTTGTTGTATGCCATGAACTTTCTATCTGGCACATTGTTTATGACACTAAAACAGCTTAAGTAATAAGAAGAGTTTGATGAGTTATACCTTCCAGTTATAGTTCTTGCAAAGCTGCTCCATAGCATTGGAACAACAAACTCTTATATCTTCGCTGCAATCATTGAACCACTAATTGAGCCCAATTAGTGGTTTATAAACAGAAGATAAGAAATCAGCAATGCATATTGCTTTCATACCCATAATTAAAACGACCTTAACTTACGAGCCATAAGATTAGAAGGATAAGCAGAAGGTTACCAACCTCTTCATACTTTGCCATTTTGATGTTGGATATTGGATTTGTTTCCTTCAGCAGAGGAAAGTGCACTTTGGGCTAGTGGTTTAAGAAAAAGGACACAAAAGAAGAGATTGAAAAGAGAATTAGAAATCCAAAATCTGTTTGATTGGAAAACCTTTCTCTAGTTTAGTTCTTGAGGAAACATATAACTGGACAGTTTTGGAGAATGACTTAGGTACAAAACAGTCTTTTTTCTTTTGAAATATAGGTACAAAACAGTTCTTATCTACAGTTTAAAATGTGAAATATGTGTAAATCATATATGATCCTAAGCTTACAAGTGGCAAGCCAGGAGAAATAAATAAACAAAACTTTATTCATCAACCAAAAAGAGAAAAAACAGAAAAATATTAGAGCTTTGCTTAACAGCATTGTTATTATTAAAGAAAGATAAGTATCTACCCAAAAAAATTATTTACCCCCTCTGTTCCTGCAATCCTACAAATGAATTTTGAATGAACAATCTGGTATAAATAAATACAAAAGCAAGCATGTCGACATTGTTGTAATAACTGGGAAAGAGAGAGATATATGTATATATGTGTATATATATATATATATATAAAGAAACAAATAAATAAATAAAATAAAAGAGAGAGGGAATAGTGAAATGGAGGGTGTCGATTAGATTAAGGGAAAATAAAAGGATGGCTGGGATGAGCCTGAAGGTCAGTATAAGTAGGTTGAGAAAATAGAAAAAAAGAAGGGAAAAGAAAAAGGAAAAACAGAGGAGGAAAGAAGAGGGGAGAACGGGAAAGAGAAGGAGGAAACGAGTGATAGAACATTCGAGAGAGAGGGAAGTCGGAGCGGGAAGGAACGCGGAGAGAGAGCGAGAGAAGAAGGAAGGTGAGGGTGCGAGCTACGGAGGTGAGGAAAGAAAAGATGGAGACTGAAGGTATAGTAAATTTAAATTTCGAGTGTAGGATGAGGATGAAATGTAGAATTGTGACTATAAATGTTGAAGAAATGTCTAACTAACTAAGGAAATGGAGTTAGGAAACAATGATAAATGGAATAGGAGAGCAGAAAGAGACTGTGAGTGGCGGAACCATTGTTGGACCTGTGAGTGGAGAGAAATGGAGGAAGCCGCGAGAGGAGAGATCGATAAGTACGGTGAGTGAGTGAAGGTGAGTTTCGGTTACGGCTAGAAGAAGTACAGTGATTGAAAAGGTGTAAGAGAGTTCGTAGGGAGGTGAGGTGAGTTGGAGTGAGTTTGGAGGAGCAGAACACGCACGGGAGGATGTGAGGCGAAATGCCGAAAGAGAGAGAGAGAGGGAGAAGCGAAGGGCTGTGACGGATTGGGAAAGATAGGAAGAAGAGTGTTGGAAGCCAAGACAAACAAAGAGGAGGAAAGAGAGGGACTGAGAGTGGAATGGTTAGAGGTAGAATGAGTACGGGAGGGTAGGAGACAAGATGCTGAAATAGGAAGATAGGGAGAGGCGGAATGCTGTGAGAGAGTGGTATTGATAGGAAGAAGAGAACGAGAAGCCGAGAAAAACAAGGAGAAGGGAAGAGAGGGACGGAGAGTGATTGGTTGGAAACAATGAGTGTAGGCATGTGGGGGTGGGGTGTGAGTATTTTGAAAATTAGGGAGCAGTAAATGTAGGCCTGTAGTGGTTGTGTGTGTGAGTGATTGGTGTAGAGGTGTATTTGTGTAAATGTGCGGTATGTGGGTGTGTGTTGTATGGGAATGTGTATTGGTGTATATGCTGTAAATTTATGAATCGTATAGGTGAGTACTTGGTGTAGAGGTGTATTTGGGTAAATGTGCTATGTGTGGGCGTGTGTTGTATGGGGATGTGTTAGTGTATGTTCTGTAAATATGTTAGTGAATTTGAGAATTTTAGGACAATGTTGATGGTTTAGTAATAACTTATGTTGGAATACCCGGCGTGTGGGTTAAGTATGCGAGTATGCGGGGCATATTGAATAGGGACGGGGCGAGATTGCCTTAGAGGTGGTTGAGCTGGGGGACGCCGATATTGGTTGTCGTTATCTAGAAAGGGTAAGTCGATCGCCAATAGTGGTGATGTTTGGGGGTTCCCGACGGATAATGTGTTGAGTCGCCGATGTTGGTGACGGAAGGAAACAGTACTGGTGTGTGTGGGTGGTCAACTAGGGATCGAGTGGTAGAAAGGTAAATAATGGTCGTCGATACTGGTGATGGATGGGGATAACCGTGTGGATGAGTGACCGAATCAGGTCCGAGGGGGTGATGTCAGGGGGTGATCACACCTCGTATGAATGACAATTAATTACTAAAGAGACATAGTAGTACCGTAGAGTTAGAGGGTATGAAGAAAGCATAACCTAGGTAACGGGAAAAGAAAACATATAAGAATGGGGTTTTAATTGGACTTCTATGCTATACTTATGATTACTGTACTAAGTTATATGTACTCATTCTCTATTATTTACAAATGAAGTAGGACTGGAGTCGGGATCTGAGTTGCTGATTTTCGAACCTACCATATAGAGGGAATGAAGCAAGGTTTACTACTGGTAGAATTGGATACTTACATAGTTGGTAATAATGTAAATCGTATGTAAACCAAGAATTTATGAAATTGTACTCTACTCTACTGATGCGTTTACGGTTGAGAATTTCTATTAGGCATTGAGCAATTAGTTCTTTATGTGTGTGATTAATTTGAAATGAGGTACGACGGGTGTTCTGCATACTAATTTATTTAAAACTACGCCGCTAAAAAAAAACGGGGCGTTATAATTGTATTTTACCCTTTTAAATATTAGAAAGTTGCACAGAATCCTAATGCGATATACAGAAACAGTTCTTACCAGTAAAGTGGTGAGGTCATGCGAAGGCAGTTGGCTGTTAATAGCCGCATAACTGAAACAAAAATTCATTCGGATTCTTAAAAAAGCGCTCATATAAAAAAGAGCTATTTTGTATACTTTTAAATTCATATAAAAAAGAGCTATTTTGTATACTTTTAAATTCATATAAAAAAGAACTATTTTGTATACTTTTATTTTCATACATGATACTTTTCTTCTAAAAAAAGATTATATTCATAAAAAGCTTTTACAACAAAGAAGGGCTTCATACTCACATAAACAGTTCTGTGAAAAAAGAACCAGAGTGGCAGACACTTACACTATAAATGCATCCTCTATAGTGCCTGCTAGTATTCCAACCATCCCAACTGTCCAGTTAGAGGAATAACACTGAAAAAGATTGAGTTTATCCCAAGAAATTGTTAAAGCATTCCAGAAAGATGCATAAAATGAAATGTTTGTGCTCACCCAGAATGTGATATACGCCCAAAAGTTGGTTTGAATCCAACAATGCCGCACAGTGCTGCAGGCATCCTCACAGACCCTACACATATGTCAATTGAATGAGTTTTATATTTCGGGTTCCAAAGATTGATATCAGTAGTGATAAAGCTAAATCAACATGCCCAAGAGATATAGATGAGCTTTTACAGTAATGCTACACCAATCAGTAATTTGATCGGGTCAAGATGTCACAAATTTGTATGCTCAAATATAATAGTCTCACAAAAAGCTAAGTTATAATCTTCTTACATAAGATGGCTCTATCTTTAAAAGAAAAAAAAAAGAATGAAGGTTAGATTACCTCCTCCATCAACACCAAGGGCAATGGGACACAATCCTGCAGCCACCACTGCAGCAGATCCACTAGAAGATCCACCAGAAATCCTGCTGGTATTGTATGGATTTCTAGTTGGTCTACAATATTCATAACATGAACAGTGTATTAATTTCAACAATAAGAAATATGATAAACGAGAACAAGTACTGGATATATATTTTGAATAAATAATTTTTCTCAGAGTAAGAAGTAATAGGGAATGAAAAGATGAATAAAAATTTCACCCATAGTGTGGATTTATGCCACTAGTTCCAGCCCCGAGCTCATGCATGTTAGTTTTCCCTACAAGTATGGCACCACATTGTCTAAGGCGGCTCACACAACATGCATCAGTTGTACAATGTCTGAATTTGTGTAACCACTTTGTTCCTCCTAAAAATTTGGCAGAATTGTACAATTTGTAAGCAAACTACGTGTAAGAGATATAGAAAAATTTCCTTGGAAAAATGAATTAAGAATAAAACCTGTAGTTGGATATGGCAAACAATCTATTTCATCCTTGATAGCAACTGGGACTCCATCTAGAACTGATATGGGCTCTCCTGGACAAGTTCAAATAAATGGATATTAAATGAAGGTTCAGATGCACGAGTTTGTTACAGATATACAAACAAAGATGTTATACAGAATTAACATAAGAAGGACTAGCAGCACGTGGAATTCTGAAATAGCAAGGTTAAATTAAAAGGCTCAGGTTCATAAGAAAACTAGTAGGTTCTGTTTGTTTAGAACTATTCAATTTCTAAATATTAGTTACTTGATATGTTGAACATAATAATGCATTTGGTAAATAATAATCAACTTAACTTATATCTTTAATTTCACAATACGTTGTGTTCATATTATCTCGAGCATAACGTGGAGCCGAAAGATGGTCTATGTATAGGCAAAACATCAAACATTTGGTGTACAAAATGTGAAGTGGTCGATGTTAGTGAAACCTGAGCGGATGTATAGATATATACAAACAAACATATACACGTATACACACATATTTAGTTCGTACCTCTTTCATAGCGAAGAGTAGATTCTGTGGCCTGCTTCAGAATATCGTCGACATCATAGTTAATGAAGAATGACATTTTGAGCGGAGGCCTGGAAGTTTCCGCAACAGCAGCTACAAACCTCTCTGCAACCTGTGCAAGTTAACAAAACTAAGCTCCATTACTTCACCGAAGAAATTAATCGTGCATATTAATTATACAAAGGAAGTCGCGATGAAACTGATGGTACCATTCGAGGAGTGATTTCTCCAGAAGCATAAGCGGTTGAGTAATCGAGTATTGTCCAGCGACGGAAGCCAGAGGTTATGGAGTCTGCTACTTTTAACGAGTATGCAGGAAGACATCTCACTGCTTCCTCAACTTGTTCCGGCGGCGATGAATCAGAATCTACAGATTTAGTTTCTTCTTCTCTAAGATCTGCATTAGAATTGACCAGAAGAACTCCAAATTGTCGGATAATTTACAGTAATACGAACTTACATTATTCCTTTTGATGTCGCTAATGCTTGCTCTGCAAAAATTAAGATTTTCGCGCCTTCACCTCTCGGGTGAAAAATTTTGTATTTCACTACATGTCTAATCATATTATTTCACTATTTATATATATGATTTATTTATGAATTAATTTTAAATAAAATACTTATTAGGTTATTAAATGTAATTTTAAAAGTTAGAAAATGAAAACTATATTCTTAATTTTTAAGGGTTTTATTTTTTTAATTGAATATTTATTTAATTATTTTCTTAATATGTTAAATAATGTACGTATATAGCAATATAAATAATAAAATATTTATAATAAAAATATTTTTTTAAAAATTTTTTATTATTAATATTTTTATCTAAATGGGTCACTATTTTTTTTAAAGTTGTTATTGTAAAATATGTATATAATTTTTAATTATTATTTAATTAACTTAAATCATATTTGGCGGTAATTAGTGAATGAATTTTCGGGCCCCATGATTATCCGAATTTTAATTTTAAAATTTGACTTTAAAATAACCTTAATATATAAATAGGAATTCATAATTTTTTTTAGAAAAAAAAAAAGTATTAATTATCCAATTAAATATTTTATTTTAATTTCAATATATTATGCAATAAGAGAATTATGAAAAAATGAGGCCAAAGAAATTAAAAAGAGGAAGAGAATAGAAGAGACCTTCAAAAGGATGTAGGGGAACAAAGAGAGGAGGTTCCTCCAACTCTGCTTTTGTAATTAGCTGATAAAAAAAACAATATATTTAATTAAAATAATTAAAATTTATCGTAATTAATAAAAAAAATAAGCTAATTCCAATTTATTTCTTAATTAATCTGGATTAATGGATCTAATTATTCAAACCCAGCAAAGGAGAAAATTTAATTGAACCAAAATATCAACTAACTTACCTAATCCTACAACCACATTACTATTTCTTTCATAAATATATAATTTATTTATTAATTTATAATTAATATTAGGTTGGAATTAATTAAGGGAGCCTTTTGACTCCTTCATATACAAGCTCCATATATAAATAAATATTATATATATATATATGCGTGTGTGTAAGAAAGTGATTAGTGAAAATATGGGTTTATACTTTAAATTATGTGATATAAATTAAATATTAAATCGTAATTTCCACTAATAAATTTCGTTAATTTCAATAATATTTTTATATAAATAACATGTATTTATTTTTATTTTGTCAATTTGTTCTTACCCTTTTCTTAGAAGTTTCTTTTTTGAAAAACCATTAAATGCATTAAAAGTATCGTTGTGGTGAGGTTGATGGGTTGTAGTTGGCAATTTCTTGGACTTACGTTATCATGTGTACATTATCTTAATTATAATTTGGCATAAATTAAAAAATATATAATAATAATAATGTTTTTTTATATTAATTATTACTAAATTTGTTAATATTTTTTTTTTTTGTATATGATGCTATAAATCTAGTGTATAATCGGTCGTTGTATACAAATAATTTTTTTTTAAAAAATAAAAGAATTCAAACACTGCCATAAAATTCAAAAGTAACGTGATAGACTAAAACTTAAGTTTTGAGAAGTAAGAATTGTTTAAGAAATTGGGGTAATTAATTCCTAATTATAAAATTTAATTAATAACTTATCACATTAATTAGTGCAGCAAATCAAAATTAAGGGGATTATTATTTCTTAATTAAACAGAAAGACAGAGGAAGAAGAAGAAGAAGAAGAAGAAGAAGAAAATGGTAAAGGTGTAATTAGGGTTACCTCGTGAATGAGATTATTTCTCTTGAGTACGAAGAAGACAAGTGTCCGAATGGGCGACTCCAAGATCCAGGCGAATATCTTCACCAGAATTCCGGCCATGCGAGGAGCTGTAAACAAAACAATCGTACAAAATAATAAAAAAAATAATTAATTAATTGTTATGGAAAGAGACAAGTTAAATGTAGCAGAGAAGTACGTACTGTAATCTAGCGCAGTCATATATATATATATATATGTGTGTGTGTGTGTATGTATGTATATGTATGTGTGTGTGTACAGATATGTATATGCTTCTGCGGCAACCAGAGATTGTCTGGTTTTTCTATATATACAAAAAGAAAGATTAATATTAATGTCAGAAGTCAGACCCAGTTTTTATTTTCAGATTTTAAGATTGACTTTATTTCTTTTAAAGAAAAAAGAATAAATACATACATGTATATATATATATATGTGTGTGTGTTTGTATAGGTAATGGATAAGAAAGAACCTTTAACGTTGGCTTGGAGGTAGGGTTGATGACTTTGAGGACCAAAGTCAAGCTGTTTAAGAGGCTTGTAAATGGCGCCTTTGAGGTTGAAGAAACCCATGATGATTATTGCAGAGAGTCTGTTCTGGTTTTTATTCCTTTGAAATTAGAAGAAGAAGAAGAAGAAGAAGAAGGAGACAACGGTGGTACCAATTGAGTCATATATGTATAGATATATATATATATATATACATACAAGTAGATACAAGAATTAATTATTATATGGGCATGAGAGAGAGAGTGGAGTAGGCGGAGAGATCAAGAAAGAAATTAATTTGGAAGAGTTAAGTGAAGAAGATGGAGAAGGAAGAGGAGATGGGGTATACATACATATGTATATATGTATATATGTATATATGAAAGAAGAGGGAGTTCGTCGTTGAGAATTGGACGCACACACGAAAGCATACATAAAGGGCAAAGAAAGGTCATATAATACACATGGAAATATATAATGATTTAGTTATTATATTATTAATTTTTTCTCTTTATATTAATTTTTATTCAAACTAATCTCTTTATTCTTTTAAAAAAATTTGATTTATTTTTTTCTATTTAAATATGATATTACAAAGTTAAATTTAACAACGCGTGTCATCTTTTAATTGGTCGTTGTGCAAAGTGAACGTTATGTCGTATATAGTTTAAATTAATCTGTATCAAAATTTTTAATATCGTATTAAATGTCACGTGGTGTATGACTTAACATAAATTTTTTTTTTTCTTATTGTCTAATATGATATCAAATGTCATATTTGATATAGTTTAAACTAGTTCTTATTAATTTTTTTAGTTTTTATTAAATTAAAAATTAATTTTTTACACATCAAATGTCACGTAACGTAAAAATTTACCCAAATATTCATACTTAAGTCTTTAGATTTTCATCAACACGATTTCTCCTCCCCAACCCATACCTCTTTCCCCGCCGTCCCTTCTTCTCTATTTGATTCAGTATATGTCTCGTTATTATATAAAAATAAATATTCGAATGAGTTAATTTTCATTATTAACTTCTAACAATGTTAACGTATGATGCCACGTATAACTTGTTTGACACATTTTTTTGTATGTTGATCATTAATCTATGCAAAAGTGTCATGTAACGTTTGACATGAAAAAAAATTTGTTGATTGAATATTTTGAATCGGTTAATTTATATATATATATATATATAGATATAGTTTTTTCATTAATGGATCGGGAGTCAATCCATATACAAATTTTTTTAACATTACTTGTATAATATATGTATGTACATATATTATTTGATATCATAATGACTTAAAAATTAATATGTTGTCGATGGGAAAAGAATTTGTCCGGTTGTTGCATTACAATTTAGTTATAGCTGTACTGCAAAAGATTATGCAATGCAATCCAGCATAACTATTATTTCCACAAGTCAACAGATACGTATGGCTAATATATATATATATATGTATATAAAATGCACATTTTTATATAATAATTCAAAAAATATGTGTTACGTTCTCCTATAGGGAAGATTTGTAAAAAGACTATTATACATTAAATGCACATGCAATTCTACTAGCTTCTTTATTGAAAACCATACATGCACATATATATATATATATATATATATATATATATATATATATAATTAAAACTTTTATTGTGGAGGGTGACTTTGAAATAGATTTTTAAATGTGTTCTTATAATGAACTTTTTAAGAAACACCATTCATCCATCACATTACTGTCATGAATTTATTTAATTGATATTTAATTTATTCAATATTATATCACGAAACTAAATTATAGATATATATATATATATATCAATATAAAATGCATCAAAATCATAATTTATTTCAAATATAATATAATATATATATATATATATAGTGATAGAAGTAACACATAAAAGAAAACATAAATCATAAAATTTATGATTGGAAAGTCTTCTTTTCTGGGACCAAGACTAAAGTAAATATTGTGGGCATACAGAAATAACGAGTTGTATTTTCATGGTTAATTAATTAGAAGGTGATGGATTTTGGTTGATGGTCCCAAATTTTGACTTATATTTTTATCTATCTATCTATATATATATATATATATAACATAAAAGTTATATAAGCACTAACCAAATATAAAACGAATGAATTATTAAAAAAGAACATAAGGGTTATATATATTATCATTATTTTTCTCGTTTATTATAAGTTTTTTGGTTTATTATATAATTGGCCTCAATGTTCAAAAAATGCTTGGAAATTTTATATGATATCAAATTTAAATAAGGAAGAATTTAAAATTATTCAACCCACATATATATATATATAGATTTTGTGTATATGCATATATTGAGTGATTTTTTAATAAAAAAAATAAAGAGAGACAACTAAAAAATAGTAAGATTCGAAAAATAAAAAATAACATGTGTCATTACTAAATGGGTCACAGTTGTTGGGTGAGTTGGATCCACATGTCATTTATTCATTCATATAATATATATATATATAAAGTGAATTTCATATTAAACCCATGAATTTAAGAAGTAAAATAATATAAAAGGGAATATAATATAATATAATATAATTTTTAAAAAAGATGTAAAAAGTTAAATTTTAAAAAAGTGCCTTTCATTTTGGGACATTTATTGCTCAAAAAATAAGCACTTCCCTCCTCCACATGCAAAGTGGGGAAGCAGCATCCATCCTTTTTTTTATTAATACTTCACCTACTGCTTTTTTTTTTTTTAATATTTTTATTTCAATTATTTATATTATTCATAATTTTACTATTTAATTTCAAGGTTAGAGTTTTAATTTAATTTTCCGTTATTATTGCTTCACTATTGTCTTTTAATTTTTTTTATTTACAAAATCATATTACATACATAAATATATAATTATTGAAAAGAATTTAGAAATTAGCGAACATTTACATTGTTAGAATCAATCACTTTGCAGTGTGATGAAATTGAAGAGTTGATTTAGGGTTCCAAGGAAAGCAATTTATGAAATCGAAACATTGGGCATTTTATAATACAAAGTATTTTGATTTGATTTGGCATTTAATGTTTCACATACGCATCAATATTTTTATGGTAGTTGTCGTGCATACCCGATACTATATATGTAAATTTTTATTAAGTTATTGAAAAAAGTATGATACTAAATTAAAATGTGACTACTTTTAAAAGATTTTTTTTTTGAAGCCGACATAAGCATTAAATTAAAATGACGCGTATAAGTTCTTAATTTTATCACGAGAATAAAAGAAAAGACACAGTATGAATAATTAAAAATATAAATAAATTAATAGTTTTTGCAAATATAATTTGATGTATTTTAAATTTTTAGAAGAAAAAATATCAACGAAAAACAAATTTATGTAAAATTTATCAAAAATTTTACTATTAAAGAAAGATTTTCCAACAATATTTATATACAATTAAAATATATATTGTAAATATTAATACCACTTTGCACTACCACATCAAGTAAATCTAAATATCACAAATTAAATTCTTCAATAAGCAATGGAGAAATAATATTGAAATTCATGTCTGTCAAATCAGATTTAGAAAACCTACCCCAATTGATGATCTACATTCCAATCCATATATTACTTGCAAACAATGGAATCTACATTCCAATCCAGGTAACCTTATGTTAGATTGGGCTGAATTTATATAATATTTTTTACAGTCAAAATGTAGTAAAATTAGATGAAAAAGTTTTAAGTTTGATGAACAACTTAAACTAAATACAGTACCGAACAAACAGGGGAATAAGTTTCATTATTTCTTCAAAACTTAGGTGAGCCTAAATCCTAACTAAGTTAAAAGGGTAGAAAGAAAAAGTTACCTAATGGTCCAACAAGGCTTGTAAAAGTAAAACTACTACTTTTATCTCTTCATTGTTATTTATTAATAATTACTATTGTATACAAAATGCACATTCAGCCCCCAATCAAATGTTTTTATAGCTGATTAATCATATATAAAGACCTCAAATCTAGTTTTCAGAAAGACGAATTGATGATCGGATTTTATGCATACCGATCGGTAGAATTTCTTTACCAAACTGAAACAACTCGGTAAAACTATCATAACAATATAAGAAGGTAGATGAGATAATAAATGCTTACGACCCAGAAAAGACCTTGGTTAGGGTGCTCTGCAGAGATGCAACTGAATCTATCGTGGATTTCGTAAGCCAGCTAATTCCTACCTTAAGACGGTGTTCATCTGTTGGTAACCTGAATAAATATGCTATTTTTCTCGCTGCAGTAACAAGAAACTCTTGTGAAAATGTAGAAGAGAGCCTGAGGCCAAATGCAGAAGCAGAAAGGTTAAATATTTAAAAGGAAATTACCTGTATGACCAATAGGACCCTCTAATGTTAGCCCCTCAATGAAACTTGGTGAAAGAGCAGCATCGTTTCTTCCCAGAGTCATCATCTCACCTAGATTCTGAAACCTGGCCAAGTAATAAGAGTATATCTCATCTAGGACTATCCATATCCCTGTAATAGAGTAAAAAATGTTGTGCAAAAAAAGATACAGCAAGTTGAACAAAAGTTTTTGAGTAACTTTGTCATTTGAGCACTTCAAAGCCAAAACAAAAAGAATTTTACAAGCAGGGACTACACATCATGGGCACATCTAAAGTATTTATTTTTTATTTTTAAGAAAAAAGAGCACATCTAAGGTAATGCTAAAGAAGAAGAAAACGTGTGGAACTTAGTGTGGAAGTGGCCAGACACACAATGTATTCGGCATTTCTTTTGGCTGGCCTTGCAGAAAGGCTTGTTTACCAGCAAGGTGCGAGTCCGCAGGCACATGGCGGATGATTCAGGTTGCACTGTCTGCGGGCTAAGCATTGAGGACATGAACCACATTTTGAGGGTGTCACCAGGCGAAGAGTCTTTAGCAGAAGATTATTCCACAGATGGTTGTCCATAATTTCTTCAGCACTCTGTTCGATGACTGGGTTTGCACTAACTTGCAGAACAAGCATAGTTAGTGTTCGTCCTTCTAGAACTGGAAGATTGTGTTTGACATCACTTGCTAGTTATTTTGGAAACAATAGAATGCTTTCATATTCGGTGGAAATCCTCTTAGTTTGGAGAAATTGAAACATGGAGTCTTCAGAATGATTGATTACACTTTTCAGGCCTCTATTATTGAGTCTATCATCTCTGGCCAACATGCACGGAAAAAGGAGAAGCTCATCAATTGGACACCGTCACCTCAGAACTGAATCAAGATCAACATGGACGGAGCTCTCCGTGGAAGCAGCGAGACTGCCTGTGCTAGTGCGCTTGGTAGGGATAGCAATGGTCAGTGGCTTGGAGGGTACCTCAGGAATATTTGTGTTTGCTCTGTTCTCCAAGTTGAGCTGTATGGGGCGTTGGATGGTCTTGCGTTAGCTTGGAACTTGGTCTTACGTCATGTTATCTCAGAGATGGATAATGCTCTCGCCGTCCAAGTCTTGAATAAAATTTTTAACAATGAAGTGATCCCTATCAATGTTAATTCCAATCTTATTATTACTATTAAGGTTTGACTCATGAAAGATTGGATTATCAAAATATAACATATCTATTGCGAAGAAAATCGGTGTGCGAACCATTTGGCAAATCAAGCCTTTAACCGGCCCCCTGGACTATAACACATACAGCATCGTCCTATGAAAATACTGAGCATCATTAGAAAGGATCTTATCGGAGTTTCTTGTCCGAGTATGTGTAATACCTAGACGTGTTTTTTTTTCTGATAGGATATAACTCTCATATTGGCTAGTTGTGGGAGATCTTGATAGGATATAGTTCGGAAGCAACAACTCATGCAGTTGACTTCCATTTATTAGATGTTCTAATTATTATCAAATGCCTCCTGCTACATCAATCTATAGTGGTTGGGTATAAAAAATTTTGAATCTTCAAAATTCTCTAGGAATCAACTGATCAGATATTATCTTAATGTTAGACATGCAATGAGGGATTCAAAGAACGTGCCGAGAGAACAAAGAACAGGTAGGCCCCCTGAAAAAATGTCATTTCCGGAGATTGTTTCCCCCCCAAAAAAAATGCAGAAAATTAAACAGAAGAGAAAAATATAAAAATACCAAGGGAAAGACAGTAGTTTTAAACCTAAATTGCCAAGTAAGAAATTCATTTCTAAGAGGAAGGGAACTCAAGATGAATTTTATCACAGATGCATTTCAATCTGAACATGTTCTGAAAGGCTAAAAAAAACTGCGTATCCAACCTAAATGGCAGCAAAGGCCGGTCATTGATTGCTGCCCACAGATTCCACCCAGTAAAGTCTGCTTGTTGAAAGGCAACCTGAAAGAGAACGGAAGGAAGTCAGCAGATAAGAATCAATTGAATTCACAGGTCTTGATCATGGAGTAGTTGTACTTAGTAACTCAACTAAAATGAGGACAAATAAAAAGAAAGGAATGAGCATTTGTGACCATGCAGGCACACTGATTAGATATCATAGACACATTTTTTGACTCTGGGATAGGTTTAGTATTCTGTTTTAAATTTTAATAAGGAAGAAACTTGGCTGAAATACCTGAGCTGTTGCTGGAAGAAGCCTTCCACTTGAGTCCCTTAGGGCAGAAGAGTCACCCAGTGCAAAAATACGTGGATGGCCCTTAACACGCAGAGTTTCATCTGTTTCTGCTTGTCCCCTTGCATTCAAGGGAACATCATAGGGCATTTCGCAGAATTCTAGTTGAGGAAGAAGAGGCTTTGACCCTACGGTCCATAATACAATGTCTGCTTCAAGAATCTGAATCTCCAATCCTCTTTCAGCAGGCTGAAGTTCCAATACATATTTCTCATGACAATCCTCTGCTGCAGCATTTTGAACTGCATCTCCATCTATTTCTTTTGCTGAATCTTCAGAGTCACTTACTCTCCTTATGCATCGTACAAGATATCCCAAGAATAGTTGAACTTTCCTCGACGAAAGAACCTAGTACCAGCACACAGACAATGTAACTTCAAGACTTATAAGATCTGTCTGTAGAAGAAGGTAGAAATTACAGGAGAGAAAGGATAAAAAAAAGGCTTTTCTTTTTGCATTATTAATAGAGAAACACAAATCACAACATTAGATTATAAGGACTCCAGACTTCCGAAGAGTAAACTCGGGATGATGCTTAAAAGTTTTTATTTCTAACTCTTTATTTCAGTAGAAATTCATACATTTCATTTACTAAGTGACACTTATATATCAATTATCACACAAAATTATAACAAGGAGACATCTGGACAGCCCACAACTCGAACCCCTATCCTCATAGAAAAGGCTAGAATTACCCACCATCTAGCCAAAAAATGGTTGGTTTTATCAACTATTTAAAACGACATTATTACCAACTTATTTCAAAAAATGCCAAAACACCTATGAACACCTTAAAATAATGTGTTGAAGAGAAGATGAGTAACATTAATTTTGAACAAGTAAATGTTCGGATCTAATTATTGGAGCTCAAAACATTAATCACATTCTGATTTTACCAACCATTCCATGACAAGCATATGTGAATTTTAACAAAAAAAAAAAAAAGCAGCCAAGAAGATATCAATTCATTTCTGAACTGCAGGAAAAGTAAAAGTTTGAAGGTTTCATTGTCATAGGCCATAAAAATGTTAACATCATACTTTCATGGCAGCTTCCCTATTTCCAGGTGGGGCAGTTGATAATATCGTGGTTTCCACATTGATAGCCTGAACTATCCCCCTATCCTGCAATCTCTCTGATATCGTGGCAGCCAACTCAACACCAGAGTAACCACAGCCAACAACAGCAACCCGAATTAGGGAGTCCTTACTGAAGTTCCTCCGTTCCAATTCTCTCAATTTTTTGTCAACCTTCTGTGGTATAACAAAAGCATCCAACATTCGATTCATTTAACTTCAGGAATACATGTGTCTGCCTAAAATATAATAGGAAGAATATATTGTTTCAACTCTTACACATGCATCCTCTAAAGTGGAGAACGGTAAAGCAAACTCTACAGCGCCAGGAACAACATCAAGTTTAGCTTCAGCTCCTAAAGCAAGAACCAACCTGGCTGCCCAGTACAAAAGGAAAATAAAATCATTGTATACATTGTAACATGAGAATGATTATACTTGGATGCTAATTAAGTGAATGCCATATTTTAAGAAACTCTTGACGTGTTGCAGGAGTTTCCTCCGACATAATTTTTGTAGCGTATAAGAAAACTAGTAGAAAACCCCAGGCTGAGAGTTATCTGTGCTTCAAATATTTTTGTAGGTAGAAGAAGAATATTGTTATATAAATAACAGAATAACATAGGAATAGCCATCATTCAATCAAAGACAATTTTTATACAGTAACAATTAGAAAAGGGTGAAGAGAGTTAACATTATACCAGTCATACTCAATGAGGAAGCCACTTTCAAGCAGCACTGTTCCTCCACAACCATATCCTCTGGACTCAACTGTTCCAAAGTGATCAGCGGGATGCAAAACTTTTACCCTATCTTGGAGAAACTGCACACCAGTGTTTGCAAGTAAGTCCAAGAAACGAGGAGCTACTTCCCATGCATCTACTTCTGCATAAAAAAATTCAGGCTCTGCCTGTTCAGCACTTTCATAAGACCATTTTGGTAGTCTTAAACAACAATAGGGACTGCCAGCATAATTTAGTCCAGAGACTAACATACCTCCAGACAGAAGCTCATACAACAATGGCTTAAAAACAAAACGCTCAGATTGGTCAACCAGAAGCACCTGGTCCAACAAAGTATTAAAGTTGTTACCAAATCAATCAAATGAAACTGCAGAATGAAGGGATAACTAAAAAATCCTTCCTGGTAGAGGGAAGGACAAAATGAAAATGGATAAATGGTAATTCCATCTCATTCTCAGAGGACAATTTCTCTGAAGAACAAGTTAAATACCTTAAATTTTTAGAGTTCATGCTTTTATTTATTAATTTAGTTTCTTGTTCATTTCTTCCCTAATCTATTTTAGAACAGAATTAAGATACACCCCATAAATCTAGGCATTTCAATGAGCTTCCTAAGGAAAAAGGTGAGAAGATAGTGACCCTATATTAACATCGGTAAATATTGAGCTTCCTACAGTTATATGATTTAAGTGTAAGTCAGAAAATAATATTTAGAAAATGATGGTGAAACATTTTGTGAGTGAGTTTGAAAAGAGTACAAAACTGCTTAGGATGTTTTTTAGAAATTTATTTCTATTTATTCTTGAGCACGACAGTAGAACACATAGATATACAAGCCTACTTGCACTTATATAAACATGTTATATATATGAATTTAGTAAATAAACTTGACATATTTTCATATTCTCAAAGAAGTCCTAATTCTTTCAGTTCTCCCATATTTAACCAGGATCAAGTGAAGAAGCAGAGAAAGGACATTATGTGTCTTATTATTATTTTAGAAAACTTGGATAGATGCTGAGACTTAGGCTTCGTGTTTGTCTTTTCGTGTAGTTGTTTTTTCAAAATAAAATGTTGCTTTTAGAAACTAGTGTTAGGTAATGCATTTCTTTATATTGTTAAGAATCGATGAAGTGTGTATTTTATTGAGTATTATTACAGCACTATGTATACAAATTTTCTAAAATAGAAAGGGAAATGGACTATTAATTATATAAAGTTATATAAGATGTATTTTACTCTAATATTAGCCTTTTAACCTACTGATATACTCTCTTCAACACTCCTATCAAGCTGAAGAATATATATTTTTTATCCCTAACTTACCAATAATAGCATGGAATGTTGGTTCATTAAGATCTTTAGTCAAAACATCTGCAAGTTGTGAGTTGGTCGACATGTATGAGATACATACTAAGCTACTGTCTAACTTTTCTTTGATTAAACGTTTTTAATTTTAATATGTTTGGTTCTATCATATTAAACCAGATTATAGGTAATGGTTATGGCCGATTTATTAGCACAATATAAATGCATAGTGCAAAGGCGACTGAGTGGCTCCTTCTGCATGCATTTGACCTTGAGGTTCTGGTGGCTAGGGCTGGCTATAAAGGTTTGCTCGTGGTTGAGATGGCTGGTCTATGGTGGACGGCGGCTAGAGTTGGGGTGGCTGGCAATGAAGGTTGACTCCTTTTACCGTTTTGTTATTTAAAAAATAAAGACTAAATAGGGTTTTTAAAATAGTTTTGAATTTTTTTAATCTAGAGTTCAGGTAACATGTGAAGAATTGTTAAAATGTGTATGTTATTAAATATTACAATCTTATATAATACAAATTTTCTAAAATAGAAAACGAAATAAACCATTAATTATATAGAATTACATATGATATATTTTAACTTCATGTACTTTAACCTAATTACATACCCTGTTTAACAGTTTTTAAATGAAAAAGATGTACATTAGCTGCTTTAGGAAATAAGCGGTGTGGTTGTTTTCTCAAAGCAACAAAATTTACTTTTAAAGGAAGCAAACAATGAATT